ACCACATGGCTCACAGGTAATATTTTAAGACCTGGCTTTTTGTTTTGTTTTGTTTTTTAAAGCTAATTAGCCAGGTCTAGCAGTCCAGGACCTGTAATCCTAGTGACTTGGGAGGTTGGGGTTAGGAGATAGTAAGTTAAAGGCCTGCCTGGGCTGCAGAGTGTGTTCAGGGCCAGCCTGGATGAATTAGTGAGGCCCTGTTTAAAAGAAAAAAATAAAAGGAAGCCTGGAGATGTCGGTCAGTAATAGAGCATTTGCCTAACATGCTCATGCCTTGTGTTACAGTTCCAGTATTGCCTCCCTCAACCCTCCAAAACTGTACCGAAATTTTTTTTTTTTATGAATAAATGTAAAAAGACCTGAGGTCTAAAACCAGAGACATGGTTTCCTAAATTATAGACTATCCAGATAAGAAAATACTAGGCAGTCATTTCAGAATGTGTCAGAAAGGAACTGTAAGTACTTTTAGAAAATACTTTATAATAATTTTTCAGGTTAGAAGGAAAAATCAGTGACTCATGCCTGTAATCGTAGTTCTTAGGGAGGTGGCAACAGAAAGCCTTCTTTCCAGCCTCTAGTTTGAAGCCAACCTGGGCTACATGAGACCCTATCTCAAAAACAAAAGCTAAAAACAGGCTGGAGGGGCTGGAGAGATGGCTCAGCAGTTAAGAGCACTGATTGCCTCTCTAGAGGACCAACCTGGGTTTGATTCTGGCACTCACATGGCAGCTCACACCATTTGTGACTCCAGTTTCAGGGCATCCTTCCTTGGGTGCCTGCATGCAAGTGGCACATGGACATACGTGTCGGCAAAACACCCAACCACATAGAATAAAACAAAATACTAACCAAAAAAAAAAAAAAAAAAAAAAAAAGTCAAGTGGGGGTAGTGCATACTTTTAATGCCAGCGTTTTGGAAGCAGAGGCAGGCAGATCCCTCTGAGTTCAAGGCCAGCCTACAGAGTGAGTTCCTGGACAGCCAGGGCTGCTATACACCTATAGTCCCAGCTATTTGAAAGACTAAGGCAGGAAAATGACTTGTGCCCAGGAATTAAAGACCAATATTGGCAGCATAGTACAGCTACTTCATTTAAAAAAAAAAAAAAAAAAAAAGGAAAACGTTTATAAAACATTATGTTGGGCTGGTGAGATGGCTCAGTGGGTAAAGGCACTTGCTGCCAAGCCTGATGACCTGAGTTCAATCCCTAGGACTCACATGGTAGAAGGAAAGACCCAACTCCCACAAATTGTCTTTTTCTTCCAAATGTTTACAATAAACAAGTATTCCTTTTCTAATTAGGAAACGTATTCATAATTTAAAATACAAGATAATAGATTTTGGCTCGAAGCACTCTAATGCAGTTTGCCCCGAGGCTCTGTGCTGCCCTAGGAATGGCATACTGGCCAGAATAATGTGAGTTTTCTTGGTCTGGTAACACTGTTCCAGATAGGTTGCTGGGTTTGGTGGTCAGTCCCAGTAATCCCAGTGCTTTGGGAGACTGGGGTAGCAAGATTGAAAGATTCTGGGAGACCTTGTCTTAAAAGACATGAGAAAAGGAGTATGCTCCCGGCAGCTGGACAGGAGGGATAGCTCAGCGGCTGCCGCTGCCGTTGATCCTGCTCAGGGCAGATGGTTTCCGCATGAACAGGTGAACAGCCCTTTTGTCCCTGTTCTGAGTCTAGTGTAAGGGGATCAAAGCAGGACTGCGTGCCTACCTCAAGCCCTTGTTATGTTGGCCTCTATCCTGGGTGAGGGTTAAGGCAGGCTTGGGGTGAAGAAAGACAAACGAGCCAACCACCATGCCTGCTTTTGGGGTGGTGTTCCCTAGCTCTATTGAAGAGGTTCTGGCCAGGGCTGATTCTGATGTGGGGAATTTACCCTGAGGGCAGAATAGCTGTGCGTGCATGCGTGCGTGGAGTTTCCCTAGCTTGGTCCTACCTGGAGGAAGACTAGAGCTTGGCCTACAATTGCTCTTCTGTCCCCTCTGTCTCTTCCTTTCTCCACTTGTCCTGACTGGACTGGAATCCGCTGCAGGTGTATTTCCCTTTTTCCACATAGGCAGGTGTCGTCTTTGAGTCTCTCCTCCATGGCTCCATGGAGGCCTTTCCTACAAGTATGCTTTGCTACCTGAATATGTGCATTTGGGAACCGAGTATGACCTTGAACTACAGCATCCCTTCCAGGGTGAGCAGTGAGCACAGTTACTCTGACACTTACCTGGGTGTGTTTGTGTACACTTGACTGTGCCACATTCCCTTTGTCTCCTATGCCCCTCATTTGTCCCCCTCTTACCCTTCCCAGAAAGTCTAGAATGACAAGAAAGAGCTTTTGGTGTGCTAAGAATTTGGGAGGAAACTTGGCTGGTCTTCTTGGCCTCATACTATAAAACATATACATTTGTTAATGTTCTTTTTTAGTCCTGTGATTTCCCCCCCAAGACAGTCCTCTTCTTTATTAATATTCTAAACAGCGTCACTGACCTATAATTCCCATACCATTCATTTCACCTAGCCTGTGCATATTCAGTGAGTTTTAGTGTCTTCACAGAGGTGTGTAGTCATCTCTTCAATTAACTGCTCACCCCAAACAGAAATGTGTACCCGCTGGTAGCCCTCTTCCAGGTCTCTGGCCTTTGCCTGTCACTAATCTACTCTTTGGCTCTTTGGGGTATCAACTTGGGACATTCATACAATGGAGTCATAAAACTCAAGCTTTTTAAGGAAAATTACTTACTTTATGTGCAAAGGTGATTTGCTTGCATGTATATATGTCCACCACCCGTATGCAGTGTTCATGGAGTACAGAAGAAGGCATCTGATCCCCTGGAGCTGGAGTTACAGATGGTCGGTCGTTAACCGCCATGTAGGTCCTGGAAGGAGCCGTCTCTAGCCCACTTGGGGTCTTCTGTGCCTGGCTTCACTCTTGGCTTACTGTTTTTCCAGGTTTACTCCTGTTTTAGTAGCATGTGTTATTTCTTCTCTTCTTTGTATGTATGTATCATCTTTTGTTTACCTATTCATCTCGATGGGCATTCAGTTTCCATTTTTTGCTATTATGAAGAATGCTGTCCTAAACATTCGCATGTAGCACACACTTTTATTTCTTAGAATTTGTACCTAGCAGTAGAATTTCTGGGTTATGTGATTACTTTGTTTTTTGGGTTTTTTGTTGTTGTTTGTTTTCTCAAGACGGGGTTTCTTTGTGTAGCACCATCCATTTCCAGGCTGTGGTTACTTTGTTTTACTGTCTGAAAAAGTTTTTTGATAATGTGCATTGCTTATTTATTTAATCATGATCAAAACCAGGCAGAATGAGGAATAGGCAGAGCATCCCAACTACTCCCATTTTAGTAGCAAGGAACCGACTCACAGAGGCCTTCTTTTGTCTTGATAGGTCACGCTATGAGTCTCAGCTGGCCTAGAACTTTGAGACGATCTTTTCCTTAGCTGCGATTCTGGGTGTGTGTCTCTGTGTCAGACTGCGGTCACACTGATAATAAAACAAAAATGACCCCGGGTGACCAGGAAAGGAGTACAACTTAAGCCCACAGTCACTGGCTGAATTTAATGCACTAGATGGACATAACTCTCAGAAGAGTGTGCCCAGCTCCAATGACACTGCTTCATGACTTGGTCCAGGCTCCTGAGATGGGGGAACAGCTGTGGAGGGTGGGCTTTGTCCAGTGGGTTACAATCTATCCATGGCTGGGTTGTGGTAACTTTAACTTTTAAAAAAAATTTTTTTAAATCCATATAAATTTGTGGAGGCAGGGAACACTCTTGGAGGTCAGAAGATGACTTGGGAATTGGTTCTCTGGTACCATGTGGATCCTGGACTCAGGCTGTCAGGCTTGATGGCAATTTACTCCTTGAGCTATATCTCACCAGTCCAATGTGTTTATTGATATGTCTGTCTGTCTGTCTCTGTGTGTGTGTATGTTTATGAGCATTTTGTCTGTCTGTGTGTATGTATTTGTACCATGTGTGCAGCAGAGGCCAGAAGAAAGTGTTGGGGTTAGTGATGATTGTGAGCTATGCTGTCAGTGCAGGGAACCAAACCCAGGTCCTCTGCAAGAACAAGTGTTCTTAACTGCTAAGCCATGGCTCCAGCCATATGGTGTCTTACCAGGCCTGAGAATCATTGGGATTTCGTCTTGAAATCATTTCAGATTGTCCCACTCTTGCTTTGAGCCTTGCTAATCTTGGCTTTCTGGAGGTTCCTGCCAGGTGACTCTAGGCTAGAGTGTCCAGTGGAGAGAATCTTCTATTTATACTCAAAAACTCAGAGGCAGGAATTAGAGAGCCACCTGCCTTGTTAGGATTGTGATTGGTGCCTTCCAGAAACACACTCTCAAAACCAAAAGCAGCTTTTGCTGACATCTGGTCCTTTCTGGAACTCTGATACTTTTATTTATAAAATGACACTCATTTCCCCAAATAGAGTCTTATTTTTCATGGGCTTTTTTCCCTTTGCGGGGGGCCTAAGGCTCACAGCTTTGCTCTCTGACACCTCCTTCAAATATGGCAAATATGGCAAATATGGCAAGGGCCCTGGTCTGTGTCAGGCATGGTGGGGGAGTGTGTGGACAGTCAACACCGTGTCTCGTCTTCTGGAGTTGGATTTCTTCCTTACCTTTGCCCCTTCTCCATCTCTGCCCGGGAAGGGAAAAACTTGCAGTTAGTGGCAATTGCCTAGTCTGCTGCTATGCTATGAATTCCACAGAGGGAGAGGAGAGCAGGTGAGACGTGAGGCCTGGCCATTGCTAGCTGCTGTCTTCACCCCTTCCCTCAGGTGAGTCCGACTTAGCCCAGTACAGCCGTGATTGCAGCCCAACACAAAGTCTTAAGCTTATTTAGAACGGGACCTTCTTGCCATTCTTGTAAGCTCAATTGCGCAGTTCTCTGGTATGAATTTTGCAGATGACAGTGTTGCGTCACAATGTCAAAAGATGAGACACACCTGTGACCTAAGCCTTTCTTTCCTCCACCCATCCCCTCAGCTGCCCAATATGTTTGGTGACCTTCGGTCTACGTTTATTGCCTTGATGATTGGATCCTACGCTTCCTCAGCAGTTACCTTCCCAGGAATCAAGGTGAGGGTGTGGCCAACCACTGCCCCCTCCCCTCATGAATTATCCTAGCATCTGGGCAGAGACCCCGCCTAGGCCACTGCAGCCTCTCTGAGGAGAAATCATTATGGGCATTAGGGATGGCCCCTCAGCTGCCCCTCCCACCTGGGCAGGAAGCACCTGGCGCTGCAGGAGCGAGAAGAGAAAACTGCTGGGCCTTAGGGGAGGGTGTGAGTGTTGTTCGTTTTGTGTGACCACAGGCTGGCTGGGGAAGGGAAAGTAGGGTGAGTGAGCTGGTCCCCCGGTCATGAGGGTCTCCAGCCTGTTGATGTTGGGCCGATACTCCCCCATTAGTCAGAGCTCTGCTGTCCGCCAAGTTGGTTCAGCTGTTTCCCTCCCAGGCAGGATTCTGAGCCTGTGGAGTCACATGGCATCAGGAAGAAGCCTAGGCTCACAGTCGCTCAGTTCTGTCCCCTGTCCTGTCTGCTGCTCTGCCAGAGTGTCAACAGGGCTTTTCCCTCCCGAAGCACAGGCATCAAAGTGAAGCTAACTTTAGGGGCCTGGGATGCTATGATGATGAAAGGAAGCCTCGGATGTTGACTGGAAACCTGGGAATCCATGTGGTGGGTGGTGGGTGGTAGGAACCAGGCCAGCCATCCTGTGAACTTTCTCTTGCTCCTGGATGGTCTTCTGTATATACATATGTGCTGGGCTCCATCTTAGGGAGCTGGGCAGCTACATGCTAGGACACTAAGGGGACCCTCTCATTGGGTCTGGGAAGAAATGAAGATGGTCAAGACAGGCCTGGGGACATAGATCTATCATCATAACTACTAAGGAAGCTGAGGCAGGAAGGGATGGCAATTTCAAGGCCAAGTGTAACTTGGGTTACACTGCAAGTTCAAGGGCAGCCTAAGCAAGTAAGTCAGTATTTGTCTCTCAGGTTTTTGTTTGTTTTTTGTTTTGGGGGTGTTTTGGTTTGAGACAGGGTTTCTCTGTGTAGCCTTGGTAGTCTGTGCCTTGAACTCACAGAGATCTGCCTGCCTCTGCCTCCAGAGTGCTGGGATTAAAGGCATGTGCCACCACCACCCTGCTTGTCTCACAGTTTTTAAGGGCCAGGGGTAAAGCTAAGTGGTGGACACTTGGCCAGCACACAGGAGGCCCTAGGTTCAGTTCCTAGCACTTAAGAAAGGAAGGAAGGAAGGAAGGAAGGAAGGAAGGAAGGAAGGAAGGAAGGAAGAAATGGTGATAGTCAATGCTAAATGCACAGCAATCTGTTATCTGAGGATCACCATTTACCCTGGCCAAAACACCCTCCAAGTACCGTGTCAGTGCCTATTCCACGGAGGAGCTAAAGGAGCCATCCATGTCTGTCAGTCCCTTGAGCATCTTGGAGCACCTGTCATGTGTATTCTTAAAGGCTAGAGAAACATTGATGGATGAGGCTGCCATGTTCCTGTTCTTGGGGAATTAGACTGACAAGTGAGCCCAGCAACAGAATAAACTAGACTGCTTGTAATCCCAGCACTCTGGAGGTGGAAGCAGGAGGGATCAGGAGTTCAAGACTGCATAGTGAGTTTGAGGCCAGCGAGGGTTACAAAAGAACCTGTCTCAGAACAAAGGAGAAAAACCTCAGAAGCAGCAAAATAGTCTTAGCCAGACAGTTCACTGTGACCATGTGAGGCAGGCGTAGCAGTGATAAGGTGGTCACCTCTTAAGGTGGTCACATTTGCAGCCAGGGCTGTTACACAGAAAAACCCTATCTCCAAAAAAAAAAAAAAAAAAAAAAAAAAGATGGTGACATTAAGCTGGGCAGCGGTGGCCCACATCTTTAATTCCAGCACTGGAACACAGAGGCAGGTGGATCTTTGTGAGTTTCAAACCAGCATAGTCTACAGAATGAGATCTAGACAACCAGAGCTACACACATCTCCAAAAAACAAAACAAAACAAAAAAAAAAAAAAAAAGAGGTGACATTTGGTTCAAATTGGATTCCAAGGACAGAAGGATACAGGGCTTCTAATAACCGGGCAGCTCAGCTCACAGGGGTGTGCCTTTTCATATAGCCCAGCTGTCCCTCGCCCCATCCCCGCTCTGGCTCCTCACTGATAACTCTGCCCGCTCACCTGACAGCTCATCTACGATGCTGGTGCCTCCTTCGTTGTCATCCTGGTGGTCTGGGCTGGCTGTTCTGGCCTGGTCTTCCTCAACTGTTTCTTCAACTGGCCACTAGAACCCTTCCCAGGACCGGAGGACATGGACTACTCGTAAGTCAGCCTGCTCTGTCTGCCCTACCCTCATGCCAGCCAGGGTCCCAGGCAGCACCAGCAAACACCCTTCCTATGGCCTCTAGGGTGAAGATCAAGTTCAGCTGGCTGGGCTTTGACCACAAGATCACAGGGAAGCAGTTCTACAAGCAGGTGACCACAGTGGGACGCCGCCTGAGCGTGGGCAGCTCCATGAGGAGTGCCAAGGAGCAGGCCGCACTGCAGGAGGGTCACAAGCTGTGCCTGTCCACTGTCGACCTGGAGGTGAAGTGCCAGCCCGACGCTGCAGGTATCCAACACCCGACTCACCTTCCAGGTTGGCCCAGGAGATCCTCATTTACACGGCAGGGGTAGCCCAGGGCCCCCTTAGTAGGCAATCATTGGCTGAGGCTCTGTGGATATCGATATCCTCTCCCTGAATCTGTCTCAAAGGGGCAGAGGCACCACCTGTCCTGTTTTTACAAACACGCACACCACTGAGCTTAGGAAATCGGCCCACGAGCATCAACACCATGAATCTCACCGTGAGGTTTGCCATCCTCACCTCCTGCCCAGTCAGCTGAATTGGATGCTTCCCGGCCCTGAGCCCCATGCTTTCTTCCCACAGCGGCCCCCTCGTTCATGCACAGTGTGTTCAGCCCCATCCTGCTGCTTAGCCTCGTCACGATGTGTGTCACACAGCTGCGGCTCATCTTCTACATGGGAGCCATGAATAGCATCCTTGAGTTCTTGGTCAACGGGGACCAGAAAACAGGTAAGTGTCACCCAGGCCTTGATGCTGTCACTGTCAACAGCCAAGTGGAGCCCACCAGCCTTACCAGCTGTTGAGCTAAATCAGTAGGGCTGTGAAATTGCAGTGTCTGAGGCCCTGTCTGCTTGCTGGGGCTGTTTTGTCACAGCTGGCCTGACTGTTCTTTCCTGTCCCCATCAGGGTTTCCCGGCCAAGGAGGGAGAGGACTGAAATAGCTCCATGTGTTTAGGGTGTGGGATGTATGTTTCTAGTGCCAGTGGGGAGAGCTGAGGGCTGTGCCTGTACTGAAAACACTGCCCAGAGTAGAAGACAGCAGCCCCACCCTGCCCAGTCACATCACTGATCTGAAGGGACTGACTTGGCACTTGGACAACCTGGGGGCTGAGGGGAGGACCTTTATCCTGGCAGAGGACTCTGGGTCAGTGCGGGACCATTCTAGGATCGCTGTCCCGCCCTGGGAACTAGGGAAAACAGAGGCTTCCCAGGAACGAGGGATCCAGTTGAGACTTGTTCACTCTGGGAAACAGAACTGATAACCCACAGGAAAACAGCAGCAGGTCTTCAGCTGACGAGGGACTTTGCTTCGCAGGCAGAGAAAGTCAGGACTTCCCCAGGGCCTGGCTGACTCAGCTTTAGTCACCCTGAGCAAGCAGGACAAACACATTCGGCAAATCCTCTTTGTTGGCAGTCTCACCAGCTGCCACTTTCTTTTGTTGGCTAACTTGTTTTTTACTGAGGGAAAGATAACGCAAACCCAGTCCTTGCAAGGAGCCAAATACCAGTTTTCCACAGGGACAGGAAGGCCTGCTTTCACAGAGCGAAAAGCTCCAGACACCTTCTGGCTCCTCAGTAGGGAGAGAACGTGGAAAGATGCTAAATATCATGAGCAAAAACTCATGATGGGGCTCAGTAATGGCCTCGGGGTCATTGTGGGAGAAAAAGACCTTTAGCTTTGTTTAGCACAATCGTAACTTCCTAACTTTTACCCCTGGAACCTTTTTTGTTTTGCTTTGTTTTAAGAGACAGGATCTTTCTTAGCATTCGTGAAGCCATGCACCACATAATAAATCATTGTGGTGATGGATGCCTATAATCCCAGCACTCCAAAGGTAGAAGCAGGAAGATCAGATGTTCAAAGTCATCCGAGGTTACATAGCAAATTGGAGGCCTGCCTGGGTTAAAGAGAGTATGTCTTGGTTGGTCTCCACTCCCCACCCCACCCCACCCCTGCCTTCTGGGTGGGTCTTGCTTGCTGATTCGCCTAGACTCTCAAGCAACCTTCCTACTTCAGTATCCTGTAGCTATGACTACCACATAGTGGACCACCCAATGGGGTAAACATTTTTTGTTTTTCTGAGATGTGGTAGCCTGGGCTGGCATGGGACGTGGCTTAGTAGACCAGGTTGGCCTCACTGTATGGGATGCTCCTGTCTCAGCCAAGTACTGGAATTACCATGACACCCAGCTTAATCTTTGGTATTTCATTTAAATAAAAGTCTCTAGCTGGGACCAGCTCAGGAGGTAAAGGTGCTGGTTGCCTGTGTGGACTCAGAGCACTTGGAGGGGTCAGTTTTCTCCTTCCCATGTGATTTCAGAGACAACTCGGGTGTGAGGCTTGCATGACAAACAGCTTAGCTGTTAAGATGTCTCCCTGGTCCTAATTTTCTTCCTTTTGATTTTGCTTTTGCTGGACATAGGGGCATACCCCTGTTTAATCCCAGCGTTTGGGAGATAGAGGCAGATTTTGACTTTGGAGGGGAAAAAACAATCAGTTTTAAGATGGATGGATATCCTGCACCAGTCGGTGGTGGACCACGCCTTTAACCCCAGAATTCGGGAAGCACATGCAGGTAGATCACTGATTTCCAGGCCAGCCTGGTCTATATAGAGTAAGTTTTAGGACAGCCAGGGCTACACAGACAAACCATGTCTAGAAAAACAAACAAACAAAAAAAAAAATGACATCTCAATTTACTCCTGTAATCTCAGGTACTAGGCAAGCTAAGACAGGAGGAGGATGATGTTGGCGTCAGTCTGGCTATACAATGAGACCTAACCCCCAAAGAAAAGAAAGAAAAAGGAAGAGAGAGAGAGACAGAGACAGAGAGTGAGAAAGGGAGAAAGATCAGCTTCAAGAAGTAGAGGAAACCAGGAGAGGGAGTCTGAAGTATAGTAGACAGGTATTCTGGACCCCAGTCTCTGGTATTCACATCCAGGAGCCTGGCTCTGCTCAGAAGGGTTGTCCTGGGGCCAGTGAGCCAGGGAGCCAGTGACAGAAGACTGTGGTGGAGAAGACTGGCTGCCCAGGGAGAACTGTGGTGTCCGATAACTGTGGCTGGCACATATCCTTTGACCTTTCCTTCACTCAGAGTGCAGCCGGAGGTGACAGTGACAGTAGTATCCCCACAGGGCCACGTGGTAGAGCTCTGATTCTGCCATGCAGTCTGCCTTGAGCATGACACCTCCTGGTCATGGTGCCCCAGGCAGGGCCACGGGCCTGACTCACCAGCCTGCCCTTGATGGGTAACCAGCAGCCAGGATGTCCGATGGGCTGGTCCCTCTCATATCCGTCTCTGCAGCTGTAGTGGCAAGGCCTTCATTGAGTTCTCTAGGGGTCTCCTGGGAAGCCGAGTGTGTGTTGCTGGGCCCTACCTAGTCTAGCCTGTCTCCTGTCTTTTTGTATTTTCACCATTGACCTCTCCTTTCTACTTTTCCACCTTTGCTTTCTCGATGAAGTGATGGCAACTGGTAAGCAGGGTGGGCGATTGTCAGGGGACCTTGCAACACCCCTCACAGCTACTCTCTGTTCAACCCAGGGATGTCTCTCATCTGAAAATCAAAACATCCCTCTTGATTAAACTGGTGGAGTAAGGGTGGACCATTTAGTGGTCAACTACTGTTTCATTCCCCACCCCCTACAATTTTAAGTCTGAAGATGGGAAGCCCAGACGTCAGAGTCCCTGTGAATGGTGCCTTCCTGGTACATTTCTAGGGACAGAAAACGATGGTCAGTCACATAGATAGAAAGCCTGGTCATGAGCATTGGTAATTTTGTGGTTTCCAAGTTGGAGTGACTTCCTGAAATTTTGGTGTGTGGGAGGGGGTTGCATTGTGACATACTGGAGCAGAAGATTGGCCTTTGTTCTAGCTTTGATTTCAGAAGTTAAGGTCCGTAGGTTCCCTTCAAGCCTCAGTGGCCAGGGGGCAGATTCCCCTCAAGCTGTTCCCAGGGCTGTGCCTGGAGCTCCCGTGACGTGCCCTCTTCCTTCCTAGTTGCCCTCTATACCTCCATCTTTGGCGCACTCCAGCTGCTCTGCCTGCTGACAGCTCCTGTCATCGGCTACATCATGGATTGGAGGCTAAAAGAGTGTGAAGATACTTCCGAGGAGCCTGAGGAAAAAGACAACACTCAGTATGTAGGCCACAGCCCACTCTCTGCCCCCGGAGAAAGACAACGGGGGTCATATTGCGTGTCAGGCCGGGCCTGGTGGGCAGCAGGGGCAAGCCTAGCACCCATTGTTCTCACCTCTGTGGAAATTCTCTGTTGGGATGAAGTGGGGGCCGCTGAGGTAGATGAAAGCCGAGGGAAACCCATCGTTGACATGAGCTACACAAGGGGGCTATTTTAAGCCACTTGCCACTGGGATTCATTCACTTGCCACTTACTTGAGGCATAAGCTATTCCAACCTAGTGTGCTAATGATGTGCTGATTCTGAAGATTAGGCAGGGCTCTGCAGTCCTGCTTTATAGAAGGGCTGGGCTCAGAGATCAGAGGATGAGTTAAATGCTGTCTTCTACAACTCCCATCATGTGATAGCTGTTATTTATTGTATCAGGCCCAATGCCAAGCACTTAACACAATGTCTCCCTTCAGCTTCAGTACCATGATGCAACATGTGTTAGTGTTATACCCATTTTACAGATGAGGGAACCAGGGCTAGGTGTTCACTTCTCCTTACAGAGGTGATGTAGTTAGAAAGTGGTGGATCTGGGAATTGCTGCCCTGCACTGAACATTTGCCATTCTTTCTTGTGATCATCCGTGGGGTTTCAGCGTGGGTGGCATGGCTGGAATCAGTAATAGTTAATCCACAAGGAAATAATTACAGAGACTCTCTGTTATCTAGGTTAGGCCCTAGAGCCAAAGGGCTATTTGCCATCCTGGTTCCATCTGCTGTGTATTTGTTTCCCCTCACCCTATCCGCCCCCCCCCCAAGGAGAAACCAACTCACTCCCTTATTTGGCTTATTATCTGGCTTCTAACCAGCTCCCTGCAAGATACAGGTGCAGTGAGGCTTTGCTGCACCCTCGCTGGGGCACACTCTGCTCCTCCCCCTCCCTGCCATCAGCTGAGCTCGATGAGCAGGGTTGCACTGTCTTCTCAGCTGTGAGAGCCTCTGCTCCAATCAGCCTTCTCTCAACTGAGAGGGCAGCCAGAGAGTGTCCGTAGTGCTGGTCTAAGGTGTGGTTGAGTAGCCTGTGCTGCTTGCCTCAGTTCACACCCTGGGATCCCTGAGATCTGACTTTTGGGGGAAGGCCCTCCTTCTTCCAGGGAGCCTCACCCCACAGCAAGTCCTGTGTGCTCTTTCTCCACAGAGGTGAAAAGAAGCAGAATCGAGACAGGCAGGTCCAGAAAGTTACTAATGCCATGCGGGCCTTCGCCTTTACAAACGTTCTGCTCGTGGGCTTTGGGGTGACCTGCCTCATTCCTAATCTGCCTCTGCAGGTAGGTCTGGGGAGAGACCGACCATCCAGGGGATGGGACACAGATAAGGGGTGCTTAGAGGCTGAAACGTGCATGTGACTTAATTCGTTCAGTTTGGCCAGCTGCCAGTATTTGCTGGAAGTCTGCTTAGCCTCCTCTACTCCCCAGCTGTGGGCCAAAGAGGAGAGTGAGCTGTGAAGACCAATTTTCTTTCATAGGAAGGACCCTTCCAAGAAAGCCCACTGTTCTCTGTCCTTAGGCACCTTGCATGCCATGGGCACCACTGTCGTCTGTTTCTTGGAACTGTGTGGCTTTGCATTTTCTCGGACACTTGAAATCTGATGTGTAAAGAGTTGTGGCCAAGGCAAAGAGTGTGATGGCACACACTTGTAATCCCAGCCCTCTTAGTGACAGACAGCAGTGTCCACATGACTGTTCTCCTAGAGAGAATGCTTGATCCTGGCTGGCTTACTTTCTTCGTACGAGATTTCTTTTGTCTGAGACAGTCTTCCTGTGTGTAGCGCAGGCTGGCCCCAGACTTGATCCTCCTGCCTTGGCCCTGCAAGTGCAGGGATTATAAGAATGCACCACCATGTTTCGCCTTGCATAAGATTTCTGAGTTTTTTGAAGCCTGTCTTGCTAGTATTTGCAAGCCAGCTAGACTTTGCACCTGCCTGGCCCCACCCATTGGTCTTTGCAGACATTTCCCAAGTCCAGTTGGGCCCAAGTCCCAAGTTTATAAGGTGAACGGATGCACCTAATAGCATTGCTTCCCTGTGGGTGTAGCCAAAGTGCAGATATGTCTCAAGCCAGCTCTGGGAGGAAATGAAGAGGCTCTTTGTTTACAAGGTGCCAGGTGTTGAGCTACGTTGAGTGCACAGGTGTACACACCCACAGGTACTGTCACACATACTGGCACTGGGTGTGTAGACTGGAGTAAGCCGTGGGAGACTTGCACCAGTTCTAGGGAGGACAGACAGACAGATTCCTGCCGTGGCCATCTTGTCCAGTCAAGGGATGATGCTCAGTTATAGACAAGTCATCCACTTTTTAAAAAAAGATTTATTACATATACAGCGTTCTGTCTGCATATATGCCTGCATGTCAGAAGGGGTCACCAGATCTCATTACAGATGGTTGTGAGCCACATTGAACTCAGGTCCTCTGGAAGAGTATCCAGTGCTCTTAACCTCTGAGCCATCACTCCAGCCCAAGTCATCCATTTTTTATTTAGCTCAGTTTTCACTGAAGGCCAGTTGTGAAAAGGCAGCAATGCATGTGAAAGAAGAAACAGGGCTGTGTAATCCATAGCTGCATAACCTTGCAAGCCTGTCAGGAGTAGCCCTGGCCCCTCCACCTCCCACAGTCCTGGGAGCAGGTCCTAGCTGCTAATGCAAGATGGCAGAGATGCATATGGAGGAGAGGATAAACACAGGGCTCCATGGTGGCTTTGACTAACATTGACTAACAAGGCCTTCTCAGAGATTTGCTAACAGGAAGAGGCCTTTCAAAGCCTATGATAGAGATTTGTGAGGCAGATGAAGATAGCCCCTTGCCAATAGGGCCTAGATGACCAGGCAGGGAGACCTCTGGGAAAATCCTCACATAAATGTAGATTCTTAGGATTGGGTAAGGAGATCTTAGCCTTCATGCATTTGCTTGTAATGTCCATGGTGTGAATACTCTCTCATGGCTGAGAGTATATGGAAGATGCCTTCAGAACAAACAGTAGTAATTCTGGTGAAAGAATTGGGAATTGATAAACTTTGATCATTCATTGCCCTTTTTTTTTTTTTCTTAAGACATTTAATTTAGCTTCTTTGTTCATTTGTTTACTTATTTATTGGTTTTTTTTTTTGTGTGTGTGTGTGTGTAATAGCTGTGTCTGTCCTAGAACTCACTCTGTAGACTAGGCTGGCCTCAGAATCATAGAGATCTGCCTGCCTCTGCCTCCTAAGTGCTGACATTAAAGGTATGTGCCACCATGCCTGGCTAGTTTCTTTTTCTTTCTTTTTTTTTAATTTTATTTTATTTTATTTATTTATTTTTTTGTTTTTCAAGGCAGGGTTTCTCTGTATTGTTGTGGAGCCTGTCCTGGAACTCACTTTGTAGACCAGGCTGGCCTCGAACTCACAGATATCCGCCTGCCTCTGCCTCCCGAGTGCTGGGATTAAAGGCGTGCACCACCAATGCCCATCGAAAAAAATTTTTAAATGCTATGATTATTGGTGTTTTGTCTGCATGTGTGTCTGTGTAAGGGTGTCAGATCCCCTGGAACTGGAGTTACAGACAGATGTGATCTGCCATGTGGGTACTAGGAATTGAGCCCCGGTCCTCTGGAAGAGAAGCCAGTGTTCTTTACTGTGGAGTCATCTCTTCAGTCCCCCAGCTAGTTTCTTAGTTATAAGTTTATATAATTTAATTTTTCATAATGACTGTTTTGAAACTGGCTACAAAATTCATGAAAGGGGTTGGGTGCTGGTGGCACACTCCTTTAATCCCAGTGCTCTGGAGGAAGACTCAGGTGAGTCTGTCACTTTGAGGCCAGCCTAACCTGGTCTACAGAGTGAGTTCCAGGACAGGCTTCAAAGCTACACAGAGAAAAACCCTGTCTCAAAAAGAAAAAGAAAAAAGAAAAGGTCTTCAGGGTGACTTAGTTGTGAAGCCTGATTTTGACCCTGGGACCTGCATGGCAGAAGGATTGAACCAACTCTCAAAAGTTGTCCTCTGACCTCCATACACACATCATGACACTTGTACACATGAATTAAATAATGTAATATTTTTAAAGAAAAAAGTTTAAAATTTCTTTCTTGTTTGTATGGGCACTTTGCCTACATGTGTAAGTCTGTGTACCAAGTGCATGCCTGGTGCCTACAGTGGTCAGAAGGCATCGGGTCCCCTAGAATTGGAGATGCAGACCATTGTGAGCCACCATGTAGCTGTTGGGAATTGAACCAGGTCCTCTGGAAGAGCAGGCAGTGTTCTTGACTAGTGATGTAATATATTTTTTAATTATAAAAATATGGACCAGGAAAGGTCGTTCTGTGGTTAAGAGCATTGAGTGCTCTTGTGCAAGGACCTGGGTTTGTTCCCAGCACTCACATGGTGACTCACAACTCTGGCACCAGGTACACACACAGTGTGTGTACATATATATTCAGGCTAAACACTGATAACATAAATAACATTAACTATTCCTCTGTGTGTGTGTGTGTGTGTGTGTGTGTGTGTGTGTGTGTTTGTACATATACAGAGACAGGCCTATGGTTACCAAGCTGTGACTACTGGATTTTTTTTTTAATGTTACAAAAAGTTTTATCAGCCTGGTGGTGGTGGCACATGCTTTTAATCCCAGCACTCAGGAGGCAGAGACAGGTGGATCTCTGTGAATTTGAGACCAGCCTGGTCTACAAGAGCTAGTTCCAGGCTCCAAAGCCACAGAGAAAACCTGCCTTGAAAACCAAAAAAAAAAAAAAAAAAAAAAAAAAAAGAAGAAGATTTTAGCAGGGACCAGGCACGGTGATACATGACTTTGATCACAACTCAGTTTGAGGCCAGCCTGGTCTACATGAAGAGTCCTAAGACAGCCAGGAGTACACATTGAGACCTTGTCTTGAAAACAAAACAGCCCCCCATGAAAAAAAAGAACTCCTCACTGGAGAGCTGGCAGCAGCCAACTCCAGGCCTAGTGCCTGTGCCTGAGTCCCAGGAGCCAGAGGGAAAGGACCGTGGGGTCCTGAGGGTCTCATGCTCATGCTCCATTCTTCCTCTTTGCCTCCCGCAGATCTTCTCCTTCGTCCTGCACACAGTTGTGCGAGGATTCATCCACTCTGCAGTAGGCGGCCTGTATGCTGCTGTGTAAGTCCCGGAAGGTCTGGGTGGTGTGGCGGTCCTGACCCCAGGGAACTGCTATTGACATGGGGACCCTGAAACTGGCTTATCCTTCCCTTCTGGCATATTTCATCCTGTTTCAGGGGACAAGTACTAGGGTTACTGCTGACCATGTCAGTTAAGGCCACCAGTTAAAGCCACCATACATACTGGCAGCAGGTGAGTCAGTAGGCAGACAGTTGGGTGCCCACAAGGCATGGCATTTAACAAGAAGTCAGTCTCTCAGCTGGGGTCAGCGCCTTAGGGCCTCAGGGTTTGCTGTTCAGCCGAGTCCTGGCACTGTCCCTGGCTGCTCACAGGGACAGGGTTGGGTTTTGGCTGCCTGAAGCTAAATACTAAAGTGTAAATAGTCCTCAGTAGGGGCAGTGACATGGATAACCCAGAAGTACTGGGCTGCCCTCACCCAGGGCCTCAAAGGGCCCATTTGCTGGCCCCAGTCTCCTTAAACCCTGCCTACAGTGACACCTACATCTTTTCCAAGAAGCTACACAGCTGTTTCTCCTTCTTTTGCCCAGGGCTTGGCCCACAGATTGAAACCCAAGTTCTGTTGTCCACCATGTGTGACCATGAATGTAGCTCTTTTCTTGCTTAGGGCTGCCTTGTACCTCGGGGGCAGCAGAGCCTAATGTTCCCCAAGATTAAGCCCAGGACTCCCTCCCTCTTTGAGCAGCATCTTAACAGGGGTTATTCCAGGTCTGCCTGTCCCCCGCCTTGTTCCCCCTTCCCCAGGCGTGGAGGAAGTTGTGGCTGCCCTGGCAGGGTTTGAGGGAGTCGGGCAAGAGCTGTGATGCTGAGTTTCCGTGATTGCGCAATGCTCTTGGAGGGGGGTACAGCAAAGCCAGGCTCAGCCTCCAACCTGCTTCCTGGGAATGTTTCCCAAGCCACAGACTCTGCTGGCACCATCCTTTCCACTCTGCTCAGCCCTACACCCTCAGGCTGGGGGCACATCTGAGAACGGGAGAGGCTTTCTCCAGTCTGAAGCCTCAGGCCTCAGGGGCTCGTACCCAACCATCCTGAGGCTGGTCCATAGGCACCGATGGTGCAGCCCTTGTTACCAGCATACCTGAACCAAGCCAGTTGAGGGATTTGGGAAGCCTGTGAACGGTGCTGGCTGTGACGGGTATCCTTACCTCGCAGGTACCCCTCCACACAGTTCGGCAGCCTTACAGGACTGCAGTCTCTGGTCAGTGCGCTCTTTGCTCTCCTGCAGCAGCCGCTGTTTCTGGCCATGATGGGTCCTCTAGGAGGAGACCCTCTGTGGGTAAGAACAGTCGGGGTGTCTCTCCATTCTGCTCCTGGGAAAGTGGGGCCCAAGGACAAAAGACAGTGTGGGAGCTTTGGAGAGAACCAGTTGGGTCCCTTGTGGATGGTGACCAGGCAGGAGTAGAAAGATGGCCTCTCTGGATCTGATTCCTGTTTCCATCCAAAGACCAACGTTCCAGTCCAGGTGTCATGAGTTGTCCCAGTCCCTGAAGGCTGCTGCTGAGTGACACATGGAGAACTGGGGAATTTAGATGCTGGAATGTGGGTTGACAGCCCTGGGACCTCTTGACCCTTCCTGTTTAATTTTCACTGTTTTCTCACCTGCGTGTGGGGGAGGGTACTGCCCTGTGATGCACACAGCTCCTTATGCCAGCCCGCTCCCCACCCTCCCAGGTGAACGTGGGTCTGCTCGTCATGAGCATGCTAGGCTTCTGCCTGCCACTTTACCTGATTTGCTACCGGCGACAGCTGGAGAGGCAGCTTCAACAGAAGAGGGAAGACAGCAAGCTGTTCCTTAAGGTCAATGGCTCATCCAACCGGGAAGCTTTCGTGTAGGGCCCGCCCACCGCCTCAGAGCTGTGGCCTCCTGCCTGTGCTTCAGTGACTGGCCGCTGTCATCTCCCCGCCCCAGAGGATCCCATGTGCTCCCTGGATCCTGCCTTTCAACACATTGGAGCCCACACTTCCTCACAAAGCCTGGCCCTGCCCTGGAGTGCTGGTGTGGAAGGACAGGAGAGGGCCCAAGACAAATGGACCTCCCACTGCCAGAAACTGGGCTGGCCCTGGCTTAGCTGTCACTCAAGGGGTTCTGGGGTCTTGAATCTCCATGGGGGGGCCTGTCCCTGGAGCCAAGGGGAGCCCCCAGCAAGCAGGCTGTCCCTCACTGATCTGGATTCTGCCCCTTGCCAAAGCAGAGGGGCCTGCCATCCAGTCCCCACACTACCTGTCCCTGAGCTGCATGCCCACCAACCACGCCTACCTGAGGACAAAGGCTTGCACTGTCTGCACTCCCCTGGCCTGGCTCCTTACCTCCCCTGGCCAGTCTGTGGCTGCCTGGAGGAAGGAAGGACCCGCTTCCTGTTGTTGGTGCTAACCCCTTTGTAATCCCAGTGTCCCCCACCCCCCTACATGACTAGTCCCTGGCCTGTCCTTTCCTTGAAGGCCTGTGGAGACAACACCCCCACCATACCGCCCACACCCCATCTCAGTCTGGGGAAAGGATGGAGAACAGAATAGTTATACAAAGCCTCAAGAGCCACAGCAAGGCTTCTTCCCTCAGACTAGGGGAAGTACATCTCTACTGCCACCCTTGTTCCTGCCTGCAACCTGAAGGGGACTGAGGGGACATCACAAGGGCACCCTTCCACACACACACAGCTGTTTTTCGGGGGTGGGAATAAGGCCATGACTGGCAGACATGGAGAGCCAGGCCTAAGTAGGGAAGAGGGCTAGTAAGTAACCAGGGGTGTGTGTGTGTGTGGTGTGTGTGTGTGTGGTGTGTGTGTGTGTTCATGTGCATATATGGTAGGAGAAGAACCTCAGGGTCTGCTTTTATGAGAGTGGACCAGACCAAAGCCAGCTAGGCCTGCAGTAGGCTCAAGATGGGAGAGTAAGCCTTGCTTTATGATGGGGACCTTGTGTGTGACCATGTGGTCACAGTGCCCCCTGCTGGCAGACTATCAGGGCACTGGGGCTGTTTGTGTGGGAGAAGCCTAGCCGGCTTGCCTGGCTCAATAACCCACTTACTTTGACAGCCCCTAGAAACCCTGTCTGAGACCTCTTAGGGTGCGGAGAGGGGAGAATTAGTTTTTAAGTCTATGGTCTTTCTCTTAAGTTTTATCAGAATTCTTTTTATGAAGCAATAAATCCATTTTCCTCTTGGTAATGGATGGCCCTCCTCACTAGTTGACCACTCTGTGCCTGTTTAAGATTGAGAGGGAAAGAAAGGACAAGAGGGTCTCCCAGGAAGAGGAATTAAAATGCCAGACAGAGTGGCACATGCTTTCATCCCAGCACTTGGAAGGCTGAAGTAGGCAGAGAGCTTAGGACCAGCCTGGGCTACATGGAGTGTTCCGGGGCTACATTGTGAGAGTCTGATATGCTGCTCGTGACAAACCCAGTTACACCTGGGTGTTCTGTCCTGAGTGACACGTCCAGGAAGGGGCATGGGCAAAGAAAAGCTCTGACTATCCCGTACTCCAGGCAAATAGGGTTGTGGAGAAGTGTGGGCGGTGCCCTCTGCTGTCGGTTCTTAGTGGACAGGCCAGTCCAGAAGCTTCTGTCTCTATGGTTTCCTGTCAACTCATAACCTCAAGGGTTATTATGTGGTAACTCCAGGAGAACTATAGGCTAAATAGCTTCAAGATGGTGTGAGGGTGGACATAGGTAAGAGGCCCCAGGCCAAGACAGTGAACTATGTCTTGGCTCCAGTCCGTTCAAGCTGTAAAATCATTACCCCCATAACAGTGCGCTGCAGGAAGATCATCTCTGGCTCCTTGCAGCCCACTGGTAGAGCTTACTCTTAGCATGAAGGACTTAGGTTCTGTTTCCCAAAAGAACTGGATGGGCATTTTCCAAAAACACCTCAGAGCGATGGTTCTTGATGTCTCGCTGGTTTTCTTTTGGAAAGGGTCTAGTCCAATATCGGGCACGCAGAGTTAGGGTGCCCGCCACACTTTGCCCATGCTTGTAAACATTGCAGCTATCTGAGAAGGGATGTAGCACCAGGTGTGGTGTCAAGAGGGTCCTCTGAGTTTGAAGCCACATCATGAGTTCCAGGCTAGTCAGGACTACACAATGGGACCCTGGGGTTTGTTTTTTGTTTTTTTTTTGTTTTGTTTTGTTTATTTTGAAGGAAACCCACAAGTGTGGTTTGAGGCAGACTTGAGAGTTTAATGCATTGCTGTCAGATGGTAGAGCTGTCTAAATGTGGCACAAGCCTGCAATGCCAGCATCAAAAGGCAAAGAATGGAATGTAACTGAACTGTAATGGTGCTTCACGCACAAGGTTATGACATGCAGCTGAGTGGGGAGTGACTAATCATAGGCGCTGTGCCCTTCTTGCATGTGTCACACAGGGGTCACTTGCAGAAGGTCCTGCAGTATTAAGACTATAGACTCCAAGGCAGGGCAAGTATGTGGTTCAATTGGTAGCATGTTTGCCTAGCTTAGACAAAGCCCTGGGTTTGATGCCCAGCCCCAAATAAAACTGGGCGTGGTGGTACATGCCTGTTATCCCAGCACTTGGGAGGTGGTGACATCAGGATCAGGAGTTGAAGTCGTCTTTGGTCACATAGTGAATTTGGAGGCAACCTGGGTTCCAGGAAATCCCATCTTTTAAAAAACAACAATCTGCAGGCCTCCCCTGTGTCTTGGCTTGATTCTGGTGCCTCCCAGAGGTTCAGGTGCACAAAGGAAGAGGGAAGCAGCTTGAAGGAATGCTAACTGACAAAGCCCCTCCCTGCTAGAGACATACTGAGGTTGGTTAGACATGACCTGTGTGGTCCCCATCACCACTGAGGGGCCACACCTTTTGAGCATGAGAATTTACGGGAATATCCTAGGATTGAGAAACTAGACCTTCACAAGGAAAAGAGCCCAGAGCCAACATTGCTTGAGGATCAGAGGTGTGGCAAGCCAGATGAGTTGGGGACTTCCTTGTCAAGGGCCAATCTGTCCCGACTTGGCGCAAAGTTTTCCTAGTGTCTGAGTCACAGTAGCAACCCAGAGTAGAGCAGATGCTTGGAGAAACAGTCCCAGAGAAGGAGAGGGACCCACAGTGAAAGCAAGGACTATCATATGTCTCAGTCACTAAATTAGCTAAGGCCCTCTAGGCCAGAATATCCCATTGGAGGCAACAGCCCAAGGGGTGCCAGGCTTCCAACAGAGCAACAAAACCCAAGGAAGGGGTTTTGCAAGCTCACGATGGTCAAAGTTTTCACAGGTATGGGGCAAGCTATCTGAACAAGGGTCACATGAGCCATACAGGCTGATGGGAACTTGAAAGAATAATTCTCTGAGAGGGGTAGTCTGAGACAAGGACAGAACCACGGGCAGAAGCACCAGTGGCCTGTCTTTTCATCTTTCCCCTTACCCTGCAAGCTCTGCAGGAGGAAGGAACAGGGAGCGATGTCCAGTCTTGTGGCTCACTTGGTGAGGACAGAGCCAGTCCTCTGGAAGGCCTTTGTAGTCTAGGCACTCAAAAAGAATGTCTTCCCCTTGGGGCAGTGGTGCCACACGCCTTTAATCCCAGCACTCAGGAGGCAGAGGCAGGTGGATCACTGTGAGTCTGAGGCCATGCTCCACAGAGAAGCCCTGTCTCAAAAACCAAAAAAAAAAAAAAAAAAAAAGAATGGTTTCCCTTAGGCCACTGCTGTCCACAGCTGGCTCCAGCCTTCAAAGACAAAGTACAGGCCCTTGGGGGCCACTTTCTGGGTTATGTCCCCCATGTTCACATCCATAAGTTCAGGTCAAAACTTGTACGTAGACAGTGGTGGTACACACACCTTTAACCCCAGCACTTGGAGGCAGAGGCAGGCAGATCTCTGAGTTTAGGACAGCCAGAGCTACACATCCTATCTCGAAAAGCCAAAACAAACAGAAAACCAAACACTTGCATGTAAGCCCTTACCATGGTCTTGTACATGCTGGGCAGTCTAAAGGGACTGGTAGGTCCTATGGACACTGAAGATGGGCAGAGGGACACATATCCAGGATTGCATTCATGTGGACAGGACTGTCCCAGACAGTAGTACAAACACATTCAGCTAAGTAAAGGTGTAGGAGTTCTCTTGTTTTGCTTTGAGGCAGGATCCCACTTTATCTCTTTAGTTGACTTTGACCTGGCTATCTTCCTGCCTCAGCTTTCTGAGTGACTAGGATTGTAGGTGTACACAGATATGCCCTGCTCAGTGGGATTCATTGCATTTTCGTGACAGCCTGTGTGAACCTAGACAGATACACCATCTGCAGTGACTGGTGATGGGTGGGGACAAGTTTATGACAGCCTGTGTTGAGGGTGTCCTACTCAGAGCTGTGCAGTTGTCTCCACAGAGCCAGGCTCTTGGGGGCCATTAGAGCCTGGGTGCTGTAACCGATGAAGGGCACTAAGATAGGTTCCCATGGTCTTTTGGGGCAGTGAGGTTCCTTATCTGTGCAAGTTACCAGGGCCCAACCTAAGTGTACTGGCTACTTTCCTCACACACAGACCATGGCCTGTGAGGATAAGAGCACCCAAGTGGTTTAGGGGGCTTGCTTATCCTCTGGCTGTAGCCCTTCTCTGGGTCAAGGTGAGACTGTCCCCACGCTCTAACTCACCCTGAGCCCTAGGGTGTGGGCAGAGCCTCCTTAGGGTTCAGGAGAGTCAATGTCCTCTATGAGGCAGACATCATTGCCCTGCCAGCACAGCCACCATCTGTGCTCCTTGGTCCCTGCAGTGAGTCATTCTTACATGGACAGGTCCAAGACAAGACCATGGGTCGCTTCCTAACCTTGACTGTTCTCTGAGGGAAGCACAGAGGTTAGCAGCCACATGTCATTTTCAGGAAAATCTTGAGTGTCATTTCCTCCAATGATATGGAGGCATCTGTGCCCTCACAGAGTGGCTGTAGCTAAGTCACATGAGCACAGTGTGTGTAGCATGAGGCAGAAACTTAACTATCCTGGCGCTGGGAAGGGAAGCCAGTACAGGGATTGAGGCATCCCCTCCCTCTTATAACAGGACACTGATTCAAGGTGACTGGCAATGCCAGACTGGTGGCCAAATAAAAATGGTAAGGTTGGTACCACTGACCTTGGTCCCTCAGAACTTCTACAGTGGAGCCTTAAGTTCTCTCCTTGCCTGCTTTTCCATTTTGTCTTTCGCACTTTGGGAAGATGCTTGGCCAAAGAGTTTTAGGGGCAAAAGTCCCAGCCATGGGGTGGCCCTTCTATACCACCTTTTTGAATGACTGATTGGCCAGGTGTGTGTGTGTGTGTGTGTGTGTGTGTGTGTGTGTGTGTTTGCGCGCGTGCGCATATGTGTTCGTCTGAGATGTGGTGTTCCTGTGTCAAGAGAGATGTGTAGGGATGCCTGAGTGCTGTAACACCTGTGTGTGCCTGTGTGCATGTATGTGTATGTGTGTTCTGAGATGTTCTGGTGTGCCTGTGTGCTATAACATCTCTCTCTGTGTGTATGTATGTATGTATGTGTATTCTGAGATGTTCTGGTGTGTGTGTGTGTGTGTGTGTGTGTGTGTGTGTGTGCGCGCTGAGATGTTCTGGTGTGCCTGTATGCTGTAACACCTGGAGGTAGAGGAAGGAATGGCCCATTGCATCTCTTTCTGTTACTAGGAGCATCAAGGCAGGTTAGAATCCAGGCAGTGTCAAAGGCCCATGCCTTAGAGGGAGGCCCAAAGGTGTGAGCTTATGTTCACTAGGGTCACATCATGTCTCTGATGACTCAGCTCTTACCTGTCACTTTGTTGTTCCTAGTCCGTCCCCGGCATACTCCTAGGCGCACAGTAAGCACGGAATAAATGGATGCTGAAAATGATTAAGAACTTTGTGGCTCCCATGTCTCTTCCTGCCAGGATCATACCACCCTTGCTCAGGCTACAGCCTGTGTGGGAGGGGCTCTGAGGGGAGAGGGGACAGAGAAGACCTTTGGGAAGGGATTCAGGGAAGAGATGCTAGGAGGTGAGATGAGACCTGCATCTTGGACGGTGGGCTCTACCCCCTCCCCCTGCTTTTGTCAACATTTCCCACCCCCACCCTGCTTTGGATAAAGGCAGCACAAACATCTCTTTCTCCAGGATAAGCAGAGCCAGTGTAAGCTCTGTGGCCAGGCAGGAGCAGCTTGACTTTGACCTTGACCTCAAGGACAAACCAGGACTTGGATACTGCA